TGTTCCTTGTTTTTCTCCTATGCAAAACAATGTCCACATTAATGCTTGACGCTTTTCCCTGTAGAAGGCCAAGCACCTATTTTCCCCTCTTTTTATTGCTGACAGTGACGGATGCCACTGTGACGGATTTCCTTTGACGCCGCAGAGATCCAAGAGGAAAATCCTCTTGGATATATGTATATTTTTGATTGAATGTATTTTACTTGATGCGCGCGTTTTACCTGTGTTGTATTATAATGTATGCATGAGGTCCTAGAGAAAAACCTCATGAATTTCTTTTACTTGAAGGAATCTTGCTGATCCTCAATTCCTGTCCAGTTTATATAAACCTCTGATTTTCCTGAGCAAGCCTCAGAAATTATCCAAACCTTGACGCGGTTATTTCTCAGGAAGCCTTGTAGCAATTTTAACAAGACTTCCTTAATTTCCTGACTTTGTATTTTATGTTGATGTGAATATCAAAATATATATTGTTAAATATTTTATAGAAATCTGAAGTATTTTATTTTTGGGATAACAAAGGTGTCATTCAAAGTATGATTTGAAATTGAAATTGTCACAATTTTTTCATTCCCTGTCAATATTTGCAGGAATTGCAGCAGCTTGAAAATGGCCCCTTTTAGAGCAATTCCTCCCCTCAAATTGCTAATTGCTTGTGCTTCTTGCATTTTTGGAACATACTTGTTAACGTATAACTTTGGAATGAGTGAAACCGTCACTCTAGAAATCATAGAAAATCTGCTGCAGGACAATCGAGACGGCAAAATGGGTACATATCAAATAAAGAACAATGTCACTGATCAATCTCAAGGCGGACAAAATTTTAGAGTTACTGGGTCATAAGGTACGTTTTCATTGTTTCGAAGATACATCGTAGGTTAGACTCTTGCTCCTTCTTGCATCGCGTATAGTGAAGATACAGTAATTTCTACCTTTGCGTAATTTTGGGCACACATCTATCAATTTAGAGTCTTCCTTACAAAGTGCTGTATATGCTTTGTGGGAAAACCTCTTTAAATCATATAAGTAATGCATGCCTCATCTCTATTGAGTGATTAATATTATAGTCTCATGAATTCAAAAAAACGGGTCTCCACAAATTCTTGGATCCAGAGATCATGCCAGTAAACTACAAGTATACAAGTTTGAATGGAGTTCTCAGTTGCTCGTGTCACGTACTGTGCCATTGTAGTTCTGAACTGTCTATCCGAAATTACGAGCAACACCTACATTATTCCCATCAGAAAAATGGAACATTCTTGGAAGCCGGAGGACATGGAGAATTTTACTCAAATAGTCTGTACCTTGAAGTTGCATATGGTTGGACTGGGGTCTTGGTGGAACCTCAACCGGGGCTGTTCCATCGTCTTTTGTTGAAGCACAGACGAGTGGCGAGCCTTCAAACGTGCATCAGCACTACACCAAATAAGATGAGAGTAAATGCGGATCTTGAAGTTCTTCCTAACATAAAAAGATGGACATCCTGTAATTATAATGACGACATTTCGCTTTTAGACGAAGCTGGTGATGAGTGACTTATTGGAAAACAAAGACGTTGTGCAAGGAGGTGCGGCGTTGAAAGGGACTAATCGTTTTCTAAGTAATGGTACCACGGAATTGGCGGTAACTTGTTACCCACTCATCAATATTCTGCGAGCAACGAATTTGACACAATTGGATGTTTTGTTTCTGGATGTGAAAGGGAGTGAAGCCGGAATACTGAAAACTGTGCCTTGGGAAGAAGTTGATATCAAGGTACTGTAATCAATGAAATAAAACAAAACATTGTTTGAGGGATTTTAGCGTCATAAGTTGATCCATCAGCAGGTTTGGATGAAATTCGAAATACAGCATTCTCCCATAATGTTTCGGATTTAACGAAGAAACTTGAGCGAGAGTTCAATGATAACAAGTTCGAGCAGCAATGGTTTGAAGTTTAGCCGTCGTAGAACTTACCTCTGTTCTTTTTTTCTGAGCTAACGAACTTCATTTCCACAGCAAAACTTGATAAATTTATTTTACCTCGGAATATTCCAACCTGTTCATCTCCTTCCTCGTCATCTCTGCATCAGCAAGCCAGTTTTAGCCCTTGACTCGATCAGCATTTCAAGCATATATAAGTCAATTTAATCCTTATGAGAGAAAATCGTTTTCAACAACGAAAAAAGGATGTAATGGGTGAGAAAACAAAAACTAATCCGTTTGGGTTTTATTTTCCTCGAATGCAGAAAGAATAACCCAAAGAGAGTGTGGTTTCTTGGTCCTTGTCTCCTTTATGGCCCATTAAAAAAAATTCATGACAGTTCCAAGCAAGTGACAGTATGAAAGGTTTAGATGGCAAGTCTAAATACCCAAATATCCCTTACCATACACACATGATGAATATCTGCCGTATTGGCAAAATAAACAATGCATTTTTTTCATATGAAAAGGTAGAAAAGTATAGTGTGCGTATAGTGCGTCAAATAAAATATGAAACCAATGGGTGCGAGTCTTGATCCGAGTCTCTAGCAACAAAAAGAAAACAGAATACAAATAGCTAGGAAATTGAGTTTTTCACCAACTCTGTTCCAATGCCTTTTCATAATTTTTTTCAATTAAGAGATTTCTTTCCTCTCATTTTAATTCGAAGAGAATTCAAAATTCATGAAAATATCTTGGGTTACTTGAGGAAATCCATTTTTGAAAACTTTGATGCGAACAAATCAAGATGTGATTGTCACTCCACTGTGATTCTAGACTGCTTTTCAAGTTTTTTTTCAGGTTTTCAGCTACCGTTTTAAAATTCAGGATTAAAAAAAAATTTAAGATTAATTTTTCAATACCTTCCCATGTCTTCAAGAACGAATCCGTGAACCAACAGTTTCCAACGCTCGAAGTTCCTTATATGAAACAGGATCAGCCAGAAGATCTGAAACTTTGTCAAAATGAGACGCTTGAAACTTTCCATTGTTTCTGTGACTAACAGATTACCACATCTGGTCGGAGAATAAATTACATTATTTCTTGCATGAATCAAGCGTGCCTCAAGCGTACTTGGTCATCTGAGATTCATTTCCTCCTTTACTGGTGCAAATTGAGTTGAGGCCATATTTTTATGTACAGCTGCTATTTTTCTGATATCTGAAACTATACTGTATTTGCAACATTCGTTTGAAAAAGAAGCGGTACACGAGGGATTCTTCTGATTTCTGAATAATAGCTTTGAATTGATTGAATTGTCTTATCGGGGCTTTTTTCCCTTCATGTTCAGGTGATACTCCTCGAGTTTGATCTCCCAAGTGTCATTGAGAGGGACCAGAAAGTGGTCATGGATTTGCTTGAGCCTCTGGGATATCGACTCGTGACGAGGGTTCTTCATGATTATATTCACATGAAATGATGGTTATTCCTCCCCAAAATTGAAAACATGCCTAGCATTGTTTTCTTAAAGATTTTTTTTTTTTGGTGTTGTTGCTGGAAATCTTCGTACACAAGTGTGCCGTGTCTTTGGATTTGATTCTTGGGGAAAATAAAATTGAATGATATTGAATGATTGGCATCCTTTCCTTTCCGTGAATCCAAATGTGCATCATTGCTCTTGATGCGATGAAATTTTGACTGCTGCGCTGCCTTGGTAACAAATCTAAAAATCCTCTCGCAATTATCTGAAGTTTTATGCGTTCCCCCTCAAACCCGCGTAAATCACATAAAGGGCTTAAAAAATCATGGACATGTTGACATAACAAGAATCATTTAGAGAACGTTCGATCAATTTCTGAAAAATTCCCATTTTTTGCGGTCAAATTATAGTTGCGATGATGTAAACTTACTGTTTGTACGGCGTGTAGCATTTCTGGCGATAGCAGTGATCACAGGTTTGAGATCGTCTCAAAAGTGTTGCTGATGTGAAAAAAAATGATAAGAATCCCGATCATTCGGATGGTTCATTTGGATTGCGCAGACGAAACCGAAACCATTCACACCCAGCAACCCTCATTTGGGTTCATCAGTTGTACCATCAAACATCAGGTATTATCAAAATCATATAAAGATTTAACTCATACTAAGGAAGACTGATAACAACGATAATACTGTAAGTTACTCATATAATGATGCAGGGTATCATTGTAAATCCACACGGAGGCTGAGGAGACATGCGCGATATTTCGTAGTTTCAGAACGGTTTATTGCTGGTTTGAAAATTTGTTGTATCGAAAAGCAATGCAATAAAAGGGAAATTAAACAATAAACACTATCTTTAAGGTATCATGCATCCATGTTTTGAATTTAAATTTTTGTGTGTATAGCGTGATCTAAGTCGAGATGTTTTCAAGATGTAGGGTCAGATTTTCATTTTTAATACGTTTCAAGTTTTCCCAAGTCAAATCATCTGCATTTTGGGATGTACATATTTCAGAGTCTCAATGTACAGTATATCCATGAATGAATGAATGAACAGAACACTTTATTTGCTGCTTTTCAGCTTTCACAAGGCACAACCAAGACTCCTGCACCCAAACCCCCTCCCCACCCAACCCAATTCCCCTCAAAGACATTCAATCACTTCAAAGCAGGAAACAAAGCACAAATTGATGACCAAAATAAAAGAGAACACACTCCACAAAACCCGCGAGTTACCCGTGACCCAGGGTAAATCCGCGTCCTATATGAGATGCACAAACTAATGTATTTATGCTGCAGGAGTTACACCACTTAGACGCCTTTGAGAGTTGGATGAATTTTTTGCTAAAGCACCATAATTGTCAAAATAGCTACAGCATCATGTATTAAGGGGATGTTAGATGATGCAAATAGTAATGGTTTAGTATTGCCACAAGCAAGAACAAGTAGTAATTTACTTGATTCTACGGTATATCCATAGCTACCCAAATGACCATGGCAGTTCTACCAGTTCGATCAATGCTAACAAGGAAAAAAAGAAAGGCTATAATTATTGTAGTGCATGGTTCTATCTGATATCAAACAAAGTTTAAAAAAAAGCTTTGGAATAATCAACAAAACATTTCAAAAGGACTTTAATTCGTCTCGATTTTGTAGCCCATTATTTTCTACGCATGCACTACACGCAAGAAAAATCGCAGACATCGAAGCTTCGCAAAAAGTGGTTGGCACTGAGCAATGCGAACAATCCACGTCATTTGAAGCTAACACCGGGGTTTCATCATCCTGCTCTCTCCGACAAACACTTCCTCACATCAAAAAAAACATTTCCCACATTCAAGATTAAAAAATTGTGAAACAGAAATCAGAGCTGGACAATAACTCGTTAAGAAATGGATACAACAAGAAGAACGTCAGAAATCTTCCCGATAGACCACAACGATAGTGGAAAGCAAGAGAGCAAAAGTATATTGCACTGACGAGGTCGGCCTACTTGATCGCAATCAATCGACTGATCGAATGCTGCTCAATCAGCAATCCCAAAAGCAAATAATGTTGCAATGAAGAACAAAGTTTTTTTTTCGGTCCCTTCTCATGATTTGGACACTCGCCAACCAGCAGAATACAAGGAAACAATAAATTCAACACTAACCAGAACAAATCGCACATTTTGCGTTATCAGATGAAAAAAATGTTCTCATGCTCACATTTGAGGCTTGAAAGCATTCGAAAAAGGAACCCGCAAAGAAAAAAAAAAGTCTCAGCGGAATTTCAATGATGATCTACGCTGACTCGCAATCACAGATAATGACAAATTGGGTAACAATTTTTACTACAGTTTGTTCTTTTAAAAGCCACCACCACTTAACCGGATATTGAACCATCACCACAATTAATCTGCAAACCCTTCATCGTGCATATACGCGCTCTTTAATCCGAACCCCAACAAAAATATGTCTTTCACATGACACGTCTTCCACAGCAGCGAGATATACTTCAAAGCAAATTTAACCAAAAATTCGGAAGCAATCAGCATTTTCACAGAAAAAAAAATGCCGTCTCTGACTGATTTGGAACCAACCTCACATGACTTTCCGTCGAAGACTCAGGAAGTCAGAAATATACAGCTTTACATTATTTTCTTTTCCAAATGTGATTGGTGAACCGATCTCGTTCCAAATCAACTTGCAAAAACTTTAAAAAATTCTTCAGCAACGAACATTCGGATCACTTTCCCCCCTGAGTGAAACAAAACAACAACAAAAAAGATCTCAGAACAAAAAATCTCGCAGAAATTAAACCATTTCAACGAATTCAAAAGCTTTACTGCATTTAAAAACAAAACAAAAATCTAATGATGCACCAAAAATCGTTGCTGAATACCGTACATGAACTATGCGATATTTTCAATTAAGGACAATTGGTTGCGTTTTTTTTTTATAATTATCCAGTGGATAAAACTTCTCACTCATTCAAAAAAGAACGCCAAGCATTCAACCACACACGTGAGGCACTTTCCTGGTTTCTTGTTCTTGTTCTTCTTCAACATCCTCTTGGTTTCATCGCTGATTTCGTCGCGTCCCTTAGGTTCCATGATTTGAACGAATTCACATGGATTAGTGCTCACAAAAATTCGAGGACTGATCATTCTCGACAATCTGGGCACCAACTGGGAAGGCATTTCCACATTTTGTTGTTTTCGCAAAATCGTGTCGACGATGAACGAAGATTCCGCAACGGAGAATTCAACCTGCTGCGCGGCTTTTATGAAATCGTCACGATTCATCGTCAGAAACCGGACGGAAAACAAAACCTCATTTGGAAGGAGATCTCGCAAATTGTGCGGCGTGATCTCGACGTTCTTTTCCTTGCACCTGCGAAGCACACACAAAATTTAATAAACACTATAAATCCTTTCCATCCGATACAGACATTAAATGTCCTTTTCACAAAAATCTGCCTTGAAAAATCGGCGAATCTTTTATAATTGATGGGGTCCACCATTCATCTGCACTCAAAATTCGAATGGGAGTAGGGAAGTGATCATGTCCAGACCACCTTGAAATTTTCAAGAAAAAATTCCGGAAATTATTCACACAAATCATTTCCGAAATATTACGACGTTACGTGGCACAAATGCTACTCAAACATCTGAGGCTTCTTAGTCTTCCTTCAAATGTTGCTTGTTTCTTTGTATGAATGGATTTTTCAGAATTTTTCCGAAATTTCATGCATGCAAGATTCGTAAGAGTTTTTCAAACAAAGTAACGCTTCCGCTGACATTTCGTCGGAATAATTGAGATGATTTTGTTCAAGCGTGGTCCGACTGAACAAACGGAAAGTTCATTACATTCGATAAAACCCAGGTTCTTCAGGCCCGTTGTAAAACAAGTTATAGTGCCAATATTTACCTATTTCCTATCAAAAAGTTTCTATTGGTTCAAAATGCTGTACAGTCAAATTTCCTGAAGTCAAACTTTACAGAGCCAAAAGCAAAAGGAAACTCGAGTTATAGGGACGTTCCATGTCAGAGCAAAAAGCGATTTTGTTCATGGAAAAAAGGAAGAATTAAAAGAAATGGTCATTGCTGGTGATATCCTGCTGAGCCGAAAATTACTTCTTAAATTAGTTGACAATATGCTGAACTTGGGGGCGAAGATTCTTCAGCCCAATAAGTCTCCCAATGCCTTGAAAACACGCAAAAAGTTACATTTTCATTGTTTTATTTTCTAATTCCTTTGTTGGTAAAATAAGAGCCAAAAAGCCTCCAGCAGAAAAGGGAAGTTATAAGTTTTAAGATGATTTAAAATAGATTCAATATAGTTTCAACAATATAAGCTTTTCTTTTTTTACCAGCACAGCCCCCTCATTTTGCAACACTTTAGTGCTGTTCAACATTATCTCCGCCGATTTCAATGTATTTTTTTCACGCAATGAATTCAAAAATCAAAACAATGCTGAATATCAAGTTCCTTCATGGTTGATTAGACACCCTGTGACTTATTCTGGCTGCTCGCCACGGCAAAGAACCACCTAAAATGCGTTGATTTTGAGAACAGGGACAGCCTCAATTTGACCATCGAAAAAGCACCTTAATCAACTAATGGAACTCGATTTTTAGTACTGTTTTTATTTTTGAATTTATCGCGTGAAAAAATGCATCGAAATCAGCGGAGAGTATGTTGAACAACACTTAAGGGTTGCCATATTATGGGGCTCTGTCAATAATTTTATTTACATATTTGATACTCTGTTGGATCTATTTTTTAAATCTCAAAATTTATACAACAATAAGTCTCGTATATATAGGCACCAAAGTTTTAGATTCCTAATACATTTTCAAAGCCTCATTGACCCCACATATGGGAAAGGTAAAACTTGAACAAGCAAAGATTTACGGAAAAAAAGTTTACCAATAAGTTGCCCAGGAAACAGCGGCTTCGAAAAAGAACAACTCGTTAGGAGCAGTTGTCCGATCAATGCCCAGAAGCAGTTCCACCGTTTCCACACTCGCCTCCTCCCAGATGTCGCCACGCATCACGTTCACAGTGTTACCCTCCACGAACTTGACGCATTTCTCCACGAGCCCGTCGCACATTCTCTTCAGCTCTTTCAGCTGAAGCCCTTCTGCACGTGCAAAATTGTGCGCGCCGATCAGCGGGCAATTCTCGTTCTGGTCGTCAGCTGGAGGAGCGGAGGGTTGGAGGTCCAGCGGAAGCGTCGCCAAGAATTTGCTGTGCGGGCAACAGCGCAAAACGACGTCGAGGATGTGAATCACTGTCGAATTATCCAGCAGCTCGCTTTTGGAGAGGTACTGCACGCAGTGTTGGCACAGGGAAGTCATCGAGTATCTTAGAGCGAAGTATAGAGTGCCCAAGCCGACTGATACTGATGAAATCTGGGCATCTTCGGTTTCTAGGAACCTGTGGGAATAGCATAGAAGACCGCTGTTATACGAACTCTGAGAATACTTGGCTGATGTTCATTATACAAGCACGATGATAAACTCTTCATCCTCTGGTTCAAGTATACTATAGTAAGTGAAACGTTGAATTCTCACCTTTTGGCAGCTTCTACGCAACGGCGATCAACATCTTCGACACTGATAACAAGGGAATTTGTGTCGGCATCACGTGGGAAATTATTGACAGCCTGTTTCCAGTTTTCAGAGAACATACTTTCGAAATAGCCTGACCCTTTGATCAGAGAATCACGGCTGATTTCGATTTGCCATTCACCGTTCCCTGGTGGTTTGAAAATCACGCTCTGCGAAATCGAGGAGGACAAAATTACAAACAAGAAAATAAAATCAGCACTGCAATTCAAAGCAGAGATTGTATTCGAGAGCAGCACGAACAGAGAACTTAAATTCAAGCGTTTGCCTAGATGTCGCACGAATGCGCAATTTACAGGTACGGTATGGGAGGAGTGCAGACTAACCTGAAATGGTAATCCTTGACGACCATCATCCTTCATGATGGCAGCACCGGGTCTGGTTCAAGTTGGGCATAAAATAATCAATTCGAATTTCGTGAAACTCAAGCCGATTCGGATGTTAAACTCACTGGGTATTTTGAAGATTAGAGGAAATCCTTTGGCCGAAAATTCGCTGTAGCAAGATCCGGCGAAGTATAGTGCCACAAGTAGGTGATTCCTTTCCTGGAAAACGCAAGCATTCGCAATATATCACTTAGATCATTCTCAGCTGTTTTACGCTGGTTCGAAACACTAGCTGGGAATCGAAAAAAAATTTTCTGTGGTCGATGAATGATTACTACTGAGGCTTCCGACGCTTTTATACAGCATCGGTTTCACGGTGAATTCGCGAAGCGACTTATTTGCCCACGTATGATCGAAAACTGTGTCGAAAAGAGAATGAATAACTTGATGTTCTTATGCTCGATGATGGTGTTGTGTCTAAGCAATGGACACAAGACGAATTTCTCTGGTTTAAAAAAAGTTTCTTTGCGATCTACCACATTGAAAAAACTTTGGAGGAAAGAATCCATGTAGTTGTCTGGATTTCTTTACCTACTTTCTTCCACTCACGTCAGACTTTTTTCTACAACCACGACCAACGTGTTCCTTGGGACTCACTGATGGAAAGTAATATGACCTAGGTAACGGTTCAACTTCTCTCATAATAACATCCTTCATTCAAGATGAATAAGCGAACAATAGCACAGGACAAAATCAGAGAATCTTCTTTCACAAATAATTTCTTTCGCATCCTTGCGAAATTGATTTTACAGCACATTATTCTACGCATCTTGCACGGAATTTGGAATATAATTAAAACGCAATGTTCAGAATAAAAGCCGTACGATTGGAGGAAGCCTCGCGAAAGCGTAATGAATTCCAAATCAATACCAACAGTATAGTCTTGTCCATTTATCAATAGTAAAAATAAAAAATCAGAGAATCTTCTTTCCCACGGAATTTCTTTCACATCATCGTGCACTTGATTTTACAGAAATTTCTCCTGCATTCTGTACAAAACTGGAAAAACTTATCGAAACTCAATGTTCTGAAAAAAAGCCAAGCCGAACAGCCAAGATGCCCCACGAAGGCATACGAAATTGCACAACTATATCTCTTTAAATAAACGAGAGTTAATTTTGAAAGGATTCACCTGCTGAATATTCGATCATTTCCACAAAAGAAATCAAGCCTTTGATGCTCGTCGCGAATTCTCAAATCTCCGGGATAATTCCTCCTCCGGTTCACTTCCTAGAAAATTCTGTACTGTTCTCTGGCGGCCTTCCACCATTTTAAACCCCCTTTAACCCCATCCCCCTCTTCCAGCATGGCGCGTTCAGAGGAGAGCCTATACGTACACTGTGTGGAATGATTCACACAACAGAAACGGAATCTCAGGATTGGTTGAAGCAACTACCGTACGATGTTTGCCGCAGCCCAAACGTAACAGCGAAGATGAGACTAGACCAGGGTCACCAGACTACTGATAAGTATTGATAATTCTTGTCGTAACTCGTGAAGGCGGGGAAGGAATACGAATTTTGTGTCGTCTGTATAGTGGCGGGAGCTGCGGAAGCTCGGGAGATGAGAGGAACTGAGGAAGGCACCCATTTTGCGCATGCACTCGAGTTTTAACTGGATGAATGCCTTTTGGTCGGGGCGTCCAGCACTCGGCAACCTTTGGTTGGGTTCGGTTCGATGAAAATTTACAGTACAGTACACGGGATATAGCACAGATACCTGTGTTGTTTTTGTTGGGATATAACGGGGATTGCGGCAGACCAAGGACGAAAAAATGAATCATAAGAAAAGCACCCGGATCTGGGTGCGAGTCATCCATCAGTAAAAGCATTCATTTGTCTTGACTCTTGAGCCAAATTTTGTCTCCAGCATCTTTAAAAACAATATTCTCCAACGTTTTAGGACCCACAAATTTCATTAAAATTATTGCAGACCTGCAGAATTTTTTTGAGTACCTCCCGAATATAGTCCTCCAGCAAACACAACTTCCATTGCAAAAAATTAAGTTTTAAACTGATGAAGCGTCTATAGTTTAATGTCTCCAAAAACTTAGAAAGATGGCCTTCAAGAAAAGTTTCTCAGAATGAACGCTCAAAATAATTATTTTAGAAATTGAAAATATCTACAACGTGCTATCAGGAGGAAAGCCACCTTTTATTTTGTTTGAAGGATGGAAATACACTTATTAATTCATTCCGAAACATGTTTGCTACTAAATATTATTTTATAAAGATGAAAGCTTTTAAAATTGATGCGCAAGAGATTTTCGAACGTGCAGTATTTCAGACTCAAACCTGCTCAATTCTTATTCGAAATTAAAATGATATACAGTGCTGACATTTGTTGTAATTTGTCAAAGATAACGTTAATACTGTATTGTATATAAAGTCAAACCCAGAAAAGCCACCACCCTCTGGAATTTTAAATTTATTTTGAAAAACAAATCATTCGTGATAAGGAATTCATTGGAAACCGATTCAAAATGCCATCTAACAAGATTATTGACAACTTAAATATATTCCTACCAATTAGTTTCGTTTCTGATAGCCGGCCAACGAGATTGAAGTTTTTGCAAGAGGTCTCCGAAAAAAAACAAAGAAAAACACAAATATTGAATAGTTCACTTTTCGGGAACATTGGCTAAGTAGTTGCATAATTTACTTTTCTTGTTCTTGTTTGATTATTTTTTAGAAGAATGAGAACTTTATTTTTATTATACATACTGTTCTTATTATTTTACCCGCTCTGATGAACCACCAATCTCCTCCAAATCATTAACTNCTAAGTAGTTGCATAATTTACTTTTCTTGTTCTTGTTTGATTATTTTTTAGAAGAATGAGAACTTTATTTTTATTATACATACTGTTCTTATTATTTTACCCGCTCTGATGAACCACCAATCTCCTCTAAATCATTAACTTCATTAAGCCCCCACAAACCTCTCAAACAAATGGTGGCAGCTTATTGAGGTTTGACTCTATTATGTACAATACTGTGTTTGTACGTCAGTAAATGTGCATCCTAATGCCTTTTAAAACCTAGACAATTTGAAACCTACATTTTTTTTAAAATCTTTGCGTCAAGGTACCCCTAAAACGGACGTAGTGAAGCAAGGGAAAAAATTAGGCCTAATAACATTTTATAGACACACAGTACTTTTTTGCGATAATGAACTGAACTAATGAACTTCGCCAACCGACTAACGACTCTTGTCGCAGTCGGTAATAACCAGCCAGGGCTGGACTAGGGTGCTCGTATTGATAATTCCCTTTTACAACAAGTTAAAAGAAAGAAAACATGCCCGAGTAGGATCATACGATCGAAGGACAGATCTGACCCAACTTTTAACAGCCCATAGTTGAAACTGGATATCCTCGGAATTTTCCGTGAAGACGCGCAATATTGTACGACTTTTCATTAGCAATGATACATGGGAAATGATACCCTGCAGAAAACGGTGCAGAAGACGATGCAAAGAAATTCTTCTGAGATTCTCAGACTCTCAAATCACGGACAATTTGCGCGATAAATGTCAGAGGATCAATTGTTCAACTCGAGGAATATACGGTAATTTACTCTGCGGTCAGCTTTCAAAATAAATCGATGAAGTATATTTTCGTACCGTTCGCCCACAAAAAAAAAGACTGAATTGCTTAACAAATTTACTGTACTATGCAAGACAAAAAAATGTACTCAATCGCAGAAAAAGTGTACAGCACACAATTTTTGATACGGCAGACGCATATGAATTTCTATACATAGGAGAAGAACAGTTCGTTTTTTCCAGCTTCATCCCAATCAGTTTTAAAATAGTGTGTCTGCAAAAATTAAACCTACACTTAGTACCCCAATGTGAAAAAAATTTTGCGAAGCAGCTCCGCATGAATTCTAAAATAAGCGTTGCACGGTATCTCAAAATAAGCACTCATCCCCACTTGGCGTACGCATTTTAGCTCGCATCGATCCTTATTTCCCAGACGATGACCATATCATAGATTTTAAAATCGATCTCATATCCAAAATATTATTTTTCTCTAATCAATTATTTTGAGTGATTGCTGGGATGTAAATTTGAGATTCTGCGGAACAGTATTCCCACCGCTACATAGGTCTTCGAAAACACAGTGTGCGGAAATATTCGGAGTGGAATTCATGAACTTCGTCTCTTTCCGATCTAAAAAAAAAAAATGACACGGCCCCGATAAACCCTTAATCTTCGGATNTCGTTCTTGGCACGCGGTTCCCGCACGTATACGTACCCCCCATTAACAATCCTCAATGCCAAGTCTTCATGGCACTGCGGAATTCTTCTGCGGTTTGAAAACACACACGACGATGCCGGGTGTTATATATGTATGCCTTCGCTTCACGTTCTTGTGGCAACAGTGTCAGGTGAATGTCGTTATATGGCGTCAGCAGTATAGAGTAGATCGTCTCCGAAATTTTCGTCATTCGTCCGATTGCTTATTTATTATAAATGTAAGCCCATCTCGTCGATTATGTAATGTTTCATCAACGCTCCGTTCCAATAACAGAGCTTCCACGGATTTCAAGTCGATGGTCAGATGAGAAGAGGATGCAACAGAATTTAAATATAAACTCGGGCCCTCTTTGTGTCTTTCCAATTTTGACAAGAAATTATACTTTCCAGCAGATCAACAAAATAAGCATCCAAAAAGTGAAGAAATAAATTAAAATACGGCATCGTGTGCATATATTGTATGTTAAACCACACTCATGAGGGAATCGATCAATAATGCATTCCGAAAATTGCGAACGAGTTCATGTGACGAGAGAATTTGGGGAATGTGTTCCTCTCAATAGATTTACGATTATTTCTAAATATATCGTGTCGAAAGAGGACATTGCTAAAACTTCTACGCCCATTCAACATTCAGAACGTTGCGAACGAGTTCATGTGATGAGAGAATTTGGGGAATTAAGGGACATTGCTAAAATTTTAACTCGAATCCAAATAGATTTCCTTCCTTCGTATTTTCGACAATTAATGAATGTAGATTTGATGAAGCGAACAAAAGCAACATCTTAGTTTACGGACTGGGGATTAATCAACGCAGGTTTTGTTACTCAATTTTGTTGAAAAGCAAGAAAATTTTAAAAATCGGCGTACGTTCCTGAAAAATTTTTCGGGAGCAGTTTCGTTCGCTTCGGCAGATGAACGTTCAGAAACGCAAAATACTGTATGTGAAACGTATGAATATCTGCAGTGTCTTTGCAGGAATCCCTTGGAAACTAGAGAAAATTTTGACGATTTCAATAAAATTCAAAAATGTTTCGAAATTTTTATGGGAGAGAAAGCTGAGTGCAGATATAGGATGCCTTATGAGGCATGCCCCATTTTATGTCGTCAGAGAAGGAAGCGTGGTTTGGTAATTCTGCGTGGAACTTCGGGTTGGAGGAAGGGGGATCCCTTGCGAAACCAGGGTAANTTTGGTAATTCTGCGTGGAACTTCGGGTTGGAGGAAGGGGGATCCCTTGCGAAACCAGGGTAAGGGTTCGTGACCAGCCGTGACCCAAGAGGTTTGGCATCATGGGGGAGCCCTTGCATTCCTTGGAAGATTCGCTTCTCTGCGCATGAGGAAATACGGAAGCTGTATATACAGTATACTTGTATACGGACTAAAGTGCATATATACGGAGGCTTGCATATAAGGACAACATTCCATTGCAGCACCCTATCCACCATCAGAAGACCAATGTATAGGTTACACCTTCTTCCATGATATTGGAACTTCGAAAAAATAAGTGATGTCAGACATTTATTCTTCAGTTCGCCACATTTCTTCATTTAAATTTGGCGAGTGTGGTAAGTAACGGAGATTTACATCCGGAATATATTCCGCTACAGATAGGTTATGCTACAAAAAACGCTCGATGTTTTTGTATGGTTCAGTGAAGTGTTTTATTGTTTTAAAACCCACGAAACTTTCTGGAAAAGGTAAAGATTAGAAGATCATGAATGAGTTGACAACAAAACACCAAGTCAATTCACACAAAAATCAGCTTATGCCACCCATGAGTTGGCCACCTAGCTTCATTCACATCGTGTAAATGATTTTTTTTTTTTGGAATCTTCAGGTTTGGGAAGCACAACAGCAGGAAAAAACAGTTTTTTTTAGCAAAATTTTTCTGCGCCCAGGGGAAAAAAAGCACCAGCATTCTTCCCGACTTCGCCGTCCGAACACTATCCTCATTTTTTTTTCTC